GTTTATGCTATTATTAATGAATTCAACTGAATAATTATCTCTTAAGGTTAATTTAAATTTTCATATCTTCTTTAAGAAATTCACAGTGCAGAGTTTCATAACTCTATATATTAAAGCAGTAACTACAGATTTTTTATTACTTACACAATTAGGTGAATCACAGTTTAGAGATTTATTAATGTAAATAGGTTTTGATTAAATTAAATGACAAACTTTAGTTCCACAGCAATTACCATTGTTAATTATTATGAGATCAAGCAACAGTAGACAGAAATTATTTTCTCCTTCAATGGTCAACCGGACATTCTGAGGGAATAGGCTATTGAGAAGGGTTATGAATACCTTATTTTCATATTCTCGGGGGCTGGTGGCAGAATTTCGTTAACATGTCTTCTAATAACCATTGAAACAGGTTTTGCACCATGTCCCGGGAATTATTTTCAGCGTTCAATGAAAATTTCAGCAATATATATATATATACGAAAATTTACGAAACAGTACCGCTCTGCTGCAATTTGAACATACTGCCGATTACCCAGAATTCAGACAGACATTTAGCTGTTTTAAATGACTTTCGTCACTTAAGTGACTTGTTTTATGATTAATCCTTAAAGTTATCGTAAATAAAAAATTTCTTATCAAATCATTTAAAATACACCAAAACACTTCCGGTACTCTGTGCAAAAATCCTTCAAGTCGTTGATATATGTTTCGTTTCGTAAATAAAAATCTAAAGGTCAAATCCAAGGGTCAAACGACTGCAAAATACAAGATTTCTAGCCCACCTCTTTCCACAATACCGAAAAAGAGGAAAAAACTCGACCATTTTATTTAAAGTTCGAATTAATCAGGTTTTACTGTACTATATCGTTCTAGTGCATAATCGAAGTCGAAAGAAAATTTACGATGACAATGGGCCAATGATACGACACCGTCGAGCTGGACGAACTTTATGAAATATATTCTCTAAGCAGAGGATGATAATGAACAGAATGGTAAAATTCCTTAATCAAGAGCTTACGAGGAACCGTGTTACGGAACCTTCGAGCGACAGAGTATGATAAAGAAATGAAGTGTAATATTATTGGTGGACAAACAGGAGACTATTCGATGTTTCTTCTTCGTATGATGCGAAATCATGAGCGCAATGAAACGAAGTACCTCCAACTTCTTAGCTCTTTCTTTATAAAGCGGTTGCAGTGGAAGCTGAAGGTTGTTGGCAAGAGCCAGCGTCCTTAGGTCAAAATAATACTTGGCGTAGACGCTTGATGGCACATTGATGTTGAACTCTAGGCATTCCAAAAACTGTCTTTCCAATTCATTCCTAAAACAGTTTAAAATTAAAACCGAATTAAAAACCACATCAACAGCTGTTTAATAAATTAAACTAAGAACAATGAACTACTGATAATAAGATAATGATGAATCGATGTTACAAGAGTTCAGGATATGGAAGTACTTCGGTATAGCAAAATCTAGTGATGCCGAAATATGTCAAAAACAAAAAGTTCTTTGACACGACTTCTCAGACCAGACTGCAAGGCGCAGAGCTTCCTTGCTACTAATTGCCGGGGGGAGGCATTCAAACAGGTACAGGCCTCAAATACATTATATCTGAACTCCTGCAGTGCCAGATGCACTAACATCATTTTGTTCCATAGGAAAACTGTATGCCAATCAAAAGCGGCGTTTCAAGAGTTGGGATTCCATGTGTGCCACTGCATACATATCAAATATCTGTTCACTTACCAGAGTACTTTAACTGGCGCAAAACTCCTTACCGACTAGATTTAACAGCATATGGAACCACGGTTGCTCCGAGACACTCTTTAAATCAACGGAGAGACGGTAGTTTTATCGTGGAAATGATTTTGAAGCTCAGTTAATGAACGATCGACTAACAGATCAGAAGCATTATTGTAATGGGCTGCCTTTAGATTTTCCAAATTTTCGGTATCATTATCATTTTCACTATCATTAACTTTGTGATGTAGATTCGCGTAAAGCAGCAAACAGACTTGAAGGATCGACCTGTAAAAGTAGACAAATGTGACCAAAATCTTTCCTATCCTTCGTTATAGCATCCACATTCTGAACTTGTCTGCAAAGCATGACGCTCTGACATTCCAAGCTGACTGACAACTGACTATAAGGTAGCGGTTACATCGCAAATCTGTCCAATTCGGACCCACGGCCGACTTCTTCAAAGTTTCGGTTCCTCCGTGAGAAGCTCACTGTTAGGGTGAAAAGCTCATGCTCCGCAAAAATCAAACAACAGCCTATCTTGATTTCTTAACCACCTGTTCTATCGACGATATCTGTGACCAAAAGAAGATAATAATTCCTTACACGATGTTGCCTTTAATTCTTTTACACGGCACAAAGTACAGCAATACTAGTAAAAGCACTACTCAACACTACCGAACATATATATCACATTACACATACGCTCAGATATTGTATAGTGTCATGGCAGTGTGGTGGCACACGCTGTTTACTATAGTATTGATCCGTCACCTACTTAAATGAACCCCTGAAGCAACTAAGAGGAAGGGGACAGTGCAATACGGCGCGACATCTGACCCCGGAGAGGTAACAGGTTAACTGATAGGGCTGAGTAGTGGTTTGTACATTTTGAAGCTGCTACGGTAACTGTGAAAGCTCGACGTGAATCTTAAAACCGTCAGCTAATGAAACAACGACAACTGGGCAGAGAGAATCTACAATGTCGTCTAAGAAAAGTAATTGCCAGATTAGAGTGAATATTAAAAATGACCGTGATAACAGCCTATATTAATACCGACTGAAGCGGGATAGTGTCAGATAGATTAATCCACATATACTGATCAAATTATAGGTTTTGCAGGCCCATGATCAACTGCACGCTACTTTAACTGTTCCTCTAACAGTAGAACCCTTAAACTGCAAGATGCTGTCTTCCAATTTACCCACATACGTTATGATTAAAAACAATAATTACACAAATAAATACGCATCACAACATAAATGAATTACAGTATCTCGAATTTGAACTGCTGCGATCTGATATAAACCGATAATCATCGGAATCTTTCCTACAGTAAATGGCCACATGACGTTTGCTCTGACACAAAACTCATCCATGAAC